TGGAAAGCGCGAGATTGCAAAAATTAGAAGAATTCGCGGCCCCAAAAGTGGGCCCGCCAAACGGCCCCAATTTTGGGGTCACCGTTTCACAACCCCGAATTTAGTTCCAAATTATTACAAGGAAGCTGAGTCCATTTCGCGGTCCCATTTTTGGGACCGCGAGACGGCCCCGTTTTTTGGCCCGAATTTGAGCCCGTGCAACCGGATCTCGGGAGCTGCGGCCTTGCAAATTTTCGGGCAGCGTGCGCGGGAGCTTGTCCAAAGCAGCTGCAAGCTCGTCTTTGTAATGCTGCAATGAAACAGAACTGCAACTGTGGAGGTCCATCCTGGCGAAGCCAGAATTGCTTGTGTTTTGTGAAAGTGGGGGTCGCCCGACAGCCTCTTAACTTTGGGCTTCGCCTTGGCAGGCCCAGCTGAGCTGCAGGTCTTGCTGGTTTTTTCTGTGGATAGGAGTCACGCTTCAATCTCTGGGAAGTTGACCAACGCGGCTTCAACGTTTTCTGTGGTTGTGCAGCGTCGCTTGGCAGACATTGCAGACTGAAACTCTTGGCGGCTTGGGTTTTGAACAGCGAAGATATTTGCGCGTGTTGCACCGGCAAGGAACTTAAGTTGCCATGCGCCCAACGAAGAAGAAGATATAGGGAAGGCCGACGCCTCCGGCAGAAGTGTGAACGTCAGTTTGTCTTCTCCATTGAAGGGCACGCAACATCATCTTTGAGCCTCAGACTTTGCTGAAGGTTTCGAAGCTTCTCGAGGCCGGTCCGAGGCCTCCTCCAGTTGAGCAGGGCGCGATATAGTTTGCTTGCCCGATGGAGATCAACATCAGCTTGCAATGTCATGCAGAGGGCTTTTCAGGACTTTCTCATGCCCGTCGAAATTTTTGGAAAGCTCAGGATCATCGAGGCTTCTTTTGAGGCCCGTCGAGAAGTCTGAAATAAAAACTTGCGGCAGCGCGACATAGCTTGCAGGATCATCTTAATCCGTCGAGGCCCTTCGAGGTCTGTCGTGACGTTTTGAATAGAGAATGAAGAGGACTTGGAGCCAGCCGCGGCTCAAAATTCTTTTGTCTTTTACATGGAAGAGGCAGCCAGGGTTTGTCCGGGCTCGAGGCCTTGCGGGGACCCGTTTAATAGTATTATAAGCCCGGGTCCCCGAGGCCTCGTAATCTTGCAAGCTAAAGGAGTTTTGGGATTTTGTTGAGGCCTCGTGAGGCCTCGGAAGGCCTCGAAACCCCATGAGTGAGGCCTCGGGGGGCCTCGGAAGGCCCCGAACCTCCGCAAGTGAGGCCTCAAAGGCCTTGCAATATCGGTTTGCGCGACTCCAAATGTGGGTCCAAAAATCTGAGCAATTCTGGCTTCGTGTGCGTGGGCCTCCCCTGTAAAGCAAGCAAAAACGCACAGTACAACTCACCCGGCGGCTGGTGATCCTTGCGTTTTCTCCTTTACAAACGGAGATGGAACTCCGCTGGACTTCTGGCACGTGCCTACTAACGCGTTTTTGGTCTTTTACATAGCGGAGCATGGTGCTTCCAAGTCTTATCTTCGATGTTTCTCCAGGAATTTAGATGATCGGTTGAAAGCTCTTGTAAACGCAAAAGCACCCGCTGTCAAGTCAGAGTTACTCTTCAGTAAAAAGAGCAGTTGTGCAGAGTCCAAAATAAATCATTAACTTTTTTAAATTTGTCGTGATTAACTGTCTTGAGGCTTGTTACCTCTTGTCGGTACAAAAAGAACCTGTTAAATGAATAAGTTTACACTTGACGTTCTTTGCTCTTTCTGACCAAGAAAGGCGCGCAACAAGTCTTCAGTGTACCTAACTGCAAAGTGCTAAGTGCTATGCTGTTGCTAGGTTTGGCGCTTGTGTGGAAACTGTCCTGGACGCATTGGCAGTTTGGGTAACGTGATCTATTCTTCTGCAGCACACTTGCAAGCAAATTTTTTGGTTTCCAACTTTTTGTGATGCTGGCAAAGCAACGCGAAAAAACGATCATCGAATGGATGTTTCATGCTCTGCATCTCTAAGAGTTACGCAGAAGATGGTGTGCAAGTTTTACTTTTCCAGATTCTTGCAAGAGCGGTTTTGGCTGGAGGGCTTAAATCTTCACAAGTCGCACAGACGAATCGGAGGCAGGAATGGGAAAACCTGCAAGTAGACAACACTTACGCTGCTGCTTAAGCCTTTAATGTCATGTGGACCTTAATGGTAGTCTTACCCGCCCTGTTCGCAAATGCTTTACTACCTTCCAAAGGGCACGAGGGTGCTGATCTAGCACACTTGCAAGCAAAGCAGCTGCAGTCTTCAATGTCTTGGCTATTCTCTTGGCAGCACACTTGCGGCTGGGCTGGATTGGCTGGTGGGGCTGGAGGGGGGCTGTGGGGGGGGCTGTGGGGGGGAGCTGAACTGGTGCAGGACTAAATGGGGCTGGGGGCTGGGATGGGGCTGGCAGTAAAACTGCTAAACTGTCAAATTTTGGGTTTTTGGGGCAATTAGGGGTTTTGGAAGTTGATTTGGGGCTTGGGAAGGTGATTTGGAAAGCTTAAGTAAATTGAACATTTGGCCTTCCGGCCTTCCGCTTTGGATTAATCAGCCTGTTTAGACAAATATCTTTGAAAATTCAAGATTGGTACCACATACAATTTCCATTTATTTTGTCTTAAGGGTTTAGGTTTAGGTTTTAGAGTTTAGGGTTTAGGGTTTTGGGTTCAGGGTTTAGGGTCTAGGTTTAGGGTCAGGGGACGGAATGTGGTGGAGAAGCATTTTCAAGGGCACTTAAGCTTAACAATAAATGGAAAATCCGATTTTTTGTACCATCCCAACTTGATCTAGGTAAGGCTCGATCCAGTTTCCTGAACCAAATCCAGCCGCCCTCCATGCGGCTTACAAAGGTATTCCAGAAGCCTAAACTTCACTCCAAACCGGGGGGGGAAGCCAGGACAGGGAGATTGCGAGATTGCGCGCGGAGCTGCTTGAGCACAGGGCCGCTCCCAACAGTGAGCACCGCCGTTTGGCGTCCATCTCAGCCTGCCTTCAGGTCCCTGTTCCAAATGCTAAAATTCCAAGTATTGGAATCCTCAAGCCTTAAAGCTCAGAATAAGGCAACTCTCAACACGCTGGATTTGCGTGTCGGTGGCTTTAGGACTTGAGGACGAATTTGGCAAGGTAATCTGGGCTCTTCAACAGGTTCCCCGACACGCTTCTCTGGGTTTAGGGTGCAAACAAAATGGGCTCATTGACGAACCTTTCTCATGAGCTCAGCCCGGCGCGCGATCCAAGGCTCTGATGCCCGGATAGCAGCTTTAGATAGCACAAATTGCCAGTGTCGCCAGGCTATGCCCACGATGCTGGCTCTCCGGCTTGCCCTGGAATGGATTCTTCTCACCAAGAGTCTATATCCCCCTTGGGAATTATCTTTTTTTTTGTTTATATAAAACCCAAGAGGATATTTAAAATAGTATTTTTATTAAGGTTCAAAGGGGAGTAAAGGAGTGGGTGGGCCCAGATCCTTCCATGCGCCTGCCATGATGGTGACCCGGAGCTTTGCGAACAGCTTTGCTTGGACTTATATGATGGAACGATGATGGAGGTTTTGAGCGGCCTTGTAAATTCGATCGGCTCCAAGATGATTGATTGCAGGTCACCTTTAGGCGACTGCTGCATACCGGATGTCCCATGTATGCCGACGACATCGACAGGTGCTGCGACAACTGCAGCGACAGCAAGTTCAGAGCAAGAGTATTGCGATCATCTCTACTCGAATGCAGCTTGTGCGGCGGCTTGTGGCGTGGAAGTTAACTCGACGGAGTACACTTACATGACAGTAGACAACTCGAAGTTCATCAGACCTCGTCCGAATGAGAAGAGGTGCTTTCTAGTTGTTGATGAAGATCCACTCAATGCAAGCACGCAGTCCTGCTGCAACTCATCAGATCCTCCAGATGATGTCTCATCCAGTCTTGTTTTGACACTTCGAGCGGCAACGTCTCTGACGGCACTCACATTGTTAATTGGTTGACGCATATAGTTGTACATGCTGGAGCCAACTAGAAACGTCTCCACGTGCACCAGCGTGCTGTGCTGATTTGTGGTTGGAGTCTTGAGCAGTGGTCGAGAGCATCAATACACATAGGTTACCCTACGGATTGGTTTCCAGAAGATAGAAAACACAACGGCTCAGCCTTTGAGACGAAGGGGCTCTTTTGACTGCACTGGAGAACTGGTACTGCTGCTGCAGAAGAAAGAGGCCTTTATTGATTAAATTATCCCCCCCCCCCCCTCCCTGAGTCCCTACGACCGGATGTCCCCCCAAGAATCTCCTAAAGATTGAAACCCTAAACACCAAACCCTAAATTTTAGGCTTAGGATCCTCCAAGTTTTTGAACCCTCAGAGGCCACAGGCCATAAGGCCCGACAGGCTGTGTGCTGTTCCCTAGGGTTTAGGGTTTAGGGTTTAGTTAGGGTTTAGGGTTTAGGGTTTAGGGTTTAGGGTTTAGGGTTTAGGGTTTAGGGTTTAGGGTTTAGGGTTTAGGGTTTAGGGTTTAGGGTTTAGGGTTTAGGGTTTATAGAAATTGTATAGGGTTCAGGTCCGGAGTTTTGACCGAAAGTTTTGACCGAAAGTTTTGAGCGAAAGTTTTGACCGACATGCGACTGCGCTGCTGCAGTCATGCGGCGGGTGACCGGAGTTTTTTGTGCGATTTTTTTGGGTTGTGATGCACATGATGACGCAGTTTTCGGACTAAGCAGCAGCTGCAGCCCACATTCGCAAGTCATCAAGCGGCTGGTTACCTGTCTTTTGACTGCAAATGAGAGAAGCTAGCGTTGCAGCATTTGATTGAGTTGCGTCCTGCAAAGGTTGCACGTTGGAACGGGTTTCGTCGCTGTCGCCACTTGTTTGGCAGCAGCCCGAGTAGCACGTACTGTGGGGATGATGTGGTGCCGTGATATCATGTCAAGATGTGTTTTCTGTTTACGTCGCAGGATTGTGTCGCTTTTTGTCTGCAGCGATGCTGGAGGACGCGAGCGCCGGCCTGAGTGATATGATCAAGTCAAGATGGAGAGACCTTGGAATGGTCTCATATGGATGTGAGCACTTTGGGGCTTGGTGGTTCTCAGGTCTTGCAGAGGTGACGCAGTTGAAAGAGGTCACGAGATGGATGCGGCGGCACCGCATAGATGGCAAGAAGGAGAAAGCACGGACATTCGCTTTCGAGAAGCCGAGCGGGACGAAGTCATTCAAAGCCAAATGCGATATTGCAGAGCTGGAGTTGAGATTCCCAGACGGCAGGTATGCTGAGGCCAGCCTGCGCGGGACGTGGGTGTGGACCTGTGATTCTGCTGAAATGCTGCGCTGCACTTTGAATGTCCGTGACGGCAACCGCTGGGATGGTAAAGATCAGCTCAAGATCAAGATCACGTGGATCAGTGAGCCTCGCCAGGTCCCATGGCGGAACAAATGCGTTTTGCTGTACACCGGCGACAAGTCTAATGAGGCATACATTGAACAGAAGAACCCGCACATCCTGTATGCAATTACGCCTTGCAACGCTGACCTCTCTGACATGCATTTCACCCTGTCTGACCTTCACATTGACATGTCCATCGGGAGGATTGCTTCTGTTGCTTTCCCGCGCGTTGGCTGGATTAGGAGGTGGATACCTCCCGGTTTTACCTTCGAGCCCACAGCTTGTGCGCTGGAGCTTCAGAGGTTTCACCTCCTTGGAAGGTACAGACATGGCTACCATGGTACACATCCCCTCTTTGCAAGGGGGATTGCCGCGGAAGGCCCCAAGACTCCGTCAGAAAGAAAGGTGGAACCCAGGGAGGGCCACATTCCACGTACAAGTCGCATCGCAGGAGTGCCCAACTACTCTGATGCGTTCTTCGCGTCGCCCTCGTACAAGCAAGCCATGTGCCCCAGCTACGGGCAGGACACCAAGCGGATTGGGGGACGCTGGTGTGTTGGCACAGGGTCGTGCGACGTGGAGGCAGGCACAGCCTTGATTTGTGTCGTGCTCGTGCTGATCCAGGAGGCCGCTTTGACAGAGAATGGTGGCAAGCTTACATTTCCAGGAACGATGCCGGGAGACTGGGTCGGGTTTTGGACATGTTTTGGGCCGTTGAGCAACGCTTTTATTTTGCAAGTGCCGCAAGTCTCAAGTCCCTTTACAGATAACAAACAGAATCAGAGAAGGATGGAAGCACAGCGACAAAGACGTCAAAGCAGAGGACCTGGAGTACCGAGTTGCGAACCCATGCAACGACAACATCCTGGTCCTCGGTATCTTGTACCGGCGTGTCAGACTGGATGACTTGAAGGCATTGGCTGATCCCGAGACAAGGTAGCTGGGGAAGTTCACAAGGTAAGTCTGCAGGGCCGAATTCTTTTAATATGTCGTGCAATTATCACGATCCAGATTGGGCATTTTTGGCCGCGCAAAGATCTTGCGCCACTTGGGAGTCGATCTTGAGGGCGGAAGTCGCTACGTCCCCTACGTACTTGTAGACATCCTTGGCCAAGTAGCAGAGAACGGGCACAGTTCTGGGCCCCTGGAGACTGTTTTTTTTGTGCTTGTTCCCGTACTGAGAAAGATTGACTCGATGAAGATGACGCTCAAGCGCAACGGCCGAGCGTCACGCCGGTGTTGGAGACCTGCTACAAAGTGAGCAGAGATGCATTACTTTGCTGCTGCATCGTTCAGATGTCGGTTTGCAAGAGGTCCGGCCGAGCTGATCCAAGATAACCTCCACTCCTCCTTCCCTGAAGTGGATGGGAACACCCTCCTACCCCTGAACCCAAGCAGCAGCCTAAACCCTCAACAGCCGAAGCCGCAACTCCTATTTTGTCTTGGAGGCCCCGCATACCAAAGGAACATCAGCCTGAAACACGTGACACCAAGGGCTTTGCGTGTCGCAATCTCGCCAAGGCCAAAGAATCTCTTGCAAGCTGACTGGTAAGGAAACATGGGTTGGGCAGAGTTCTGTCCTTTTGCTGCTGGACACGGACTTCTGCGTCACATAGAACATGTTTGCACAAAAGTGGAGTGTGTCTTATGTCATGTTTTGTTGTGTCTTGTGTCGTGTTTTGCCTCATGCACGTCGTGTTGCGCAGGCTGCTGCTTTGCACGATCTTGTGAACATGCCTGATGCTGCTGCCTTTGCTCAAGATGTACTCTGGTGACTGAGGTTCAACTGTTGGGGTCGCAGCGTAAGAAGGTTCCATTGTGTTACATTTCAATCGTTGCACCCAACCCACACAACACCAGACTTCGCTGTCATTCTTTGTTGAGGCTTGATGATGTCAATTTTTGGAAGCACCTTACTTTGCCACATTGTCGATTGCGGCTGCGAATCGCGCGACGCATGTCGCGCAGGTGAGCGAGCCTCCCCCAGCATGGATCTGCTTGTGGACCAGGTGGCCGGATACATGCCGTTTTATGTGCGAGCCCCAGATTCAGAAATCTTCCAACCAAGCGCAGCTTCCGCAAGAAGCATCTGCAACTCTGTATTGCAGCTATTGTGTGCAGCTACTTAACTTGACGGGAAAGAGGCTAATGAAGGTAGCAATTGTGCGTGATTTGGTTGTTCCAGGCAGTGCCAGGCGGCCTGCAATCCGTATGTCAGAATCATTCAAATGCCGCAGATCTGGTTGTCTTAGTGCGACATGAGCCAAGGATGACACACGCACGTTCTTTGTTGGTGGTGGGTCTGCTGATAGCTTGTGACATGTGATACATTCTAATCAAGACGAACCCAATCAATGCTTTGGTCCGACAAAATTTGTTGCCACACTGACCCCGCCCTAGTGTCCTTTGTGGCATGAAGCCCCGAGGATTGCAACGTCTGTCTGGCAATGGTGGCAAGCCGGACCACCAGATTTGAGACAAATACACGCCTAGCTTTTTAGCAGCCCCTGAAGCCCAAATCCGCGTTCCAAGTTCGAGGTACACCTTGCTGGTATATACTGCCGGGGTTGTGTGCGGCTTGATGGGCTGCAAGAGGTTATGGCCTGAAGCCCTTGACAGCCCCACCCTTTCAAGAGTCGAGGGTCACGCAGGCCCTCGCCAGTCTCGACTCCAAGATGATCCTAGTAGTAGAAAATCTTCATATAACAAAAGATAGAAGCAATGTCTTTATTTCATATTGAGAAAGAATAAACTTTTAACGCTTCTGAACCCAAGCCTCTAATTGCCCTGACTTTGGCCTAGGCTTTGGCCTAGGTGGAGGCAGTGAAGAAGCGCAGGCCATTGACAGGCTGGCGGCACCACTCGCGGGTAGGACGGCATCAGTGGTTTTTGGTTGAAGCTTCGTTAGGCATTCAGGTGGGGGTTCATGCGCTTCGGGAGTAACGTGCAAGTTCTTTGTTTTTGATGCGACTCCATGGCAGTTGAATGTGCGAAGTGCTGGCCACGTTTTAGCTTGGAAGCCTAACCCAGCTGGAAAACTGCCGAACACGAACCAACGCAGCCGATCTTGCAAGAGTTGAAGCACGCTGCGTCTCAACCCTTGGAGCTTCTGTCACTGTGGCTGTGGGTTTTTGGAGACGGGAACGGGTGCTGGCAGGTGACGTTGAAGCAGACGACACCTGGGACGAGGAGACCCTTAATTTTTTTCCATGCTCCATAGAGCCCCCCGAAACCACGAATTCCAGTTTTCAAGTCTGTAATGGCTTTACTGCTATTGGCGGCCAGATTCTGTACAGATACATGTTCGTTCAGACGCATTCCTGTCGTTTTTCGTAGTTTTACGGCAGAATCCCGATCTTATCCCACAAGTTAATCTTAAGTCGCCCTTCCAGTTGCCCCAGCTCATGTGCAAGTTCTATCATCAGGTTTTGGAATAGAACCTTAAACCTAAACCCAAAATAAGCTGCTTCTTTTGTTAGGCCTTTGTCCTTGCGCTTGCTGCGTCTGGGGAGCTCCCTGCCTGGGCTCTTCCGCAGCCTGGGAGCAGGGACCCCAGCCCGTGCTCTAGCCCAATGAGGTTAAGGATGTCAGCCTTATAAACCCATGGCCCATGGCTCTTCTGCTCTACGCGACAACCCCACGCTCAGGGTTCACCCTTCTTGTTGCGACGCCTTTGTGCTGGAAGCTTGTGTGGTGACATGCACTGCCACAACAAATCTAAGCTCCACATGGCTTCAATGACACTTGATGGGCGGAGCTATAGCCAACGAAACCCAGAAGCAGACACAGGTGCAGTTGCAGGGTGGGGGGAGAGGAGAAGGCCATGAGGGGGCGCTTAAAGGTGGCGACCGACATGCCCTCCATGCGAGTGATGGATCCTGAGACTGGCAGGTAGGATAGACTGTACGCTACTTCCAATTGCAGCGCCTAATCAATCTTTCACTTCAAGTATTCCTGCCGAGCACGTAGACTCGAGGCTCTGAAATTCGAGATGCGCTGGACCCGTTTGGTGTCTTGTTCGACATTCATGCAAACATCAACATGCAGAGGCGTCTTAGCAAAGGTGCTGATGCCCTCATGATGTTTGAAGCTCGCCTTCTGTCAGTACCCTGTGTTCCCCTGAGCGCCTCTTGCACGGCAAGGCATGTTAGTGTAGTGCAGCTCAGCATACTCTACATTCACACTCTATGAACTCAGGATGTAGCATGTTTGCCTATGCAGATGTTTAATTGTTTCTAGGGAATGTCCAATAGTTGAGAAACGTACTTGGGTACATTCGTGCTTCGTACTAATGTCATTCTAACTCTGGCAAAGGCTTGTGCTATTGTCCCTGGACGTCGTATCAGACAAATGGGACCACTCCAGCTGGGAACCAAGACAGTTCCGGTTTGAAGCTCAGTGACAAGGCCATGCTTGTGGAATACTGTGTTTTCAGCAGGTTTATCGGCTGGGCAAAGGTGACTTTGGTATGGTAAAGGTGACACAAATGTTGAATAGAACACAATTCCGGTTTCCTTGGTGCAAATTCTGCGGCTCGGTCCAGATCCTTGCTGTTCCGCAGGCATATTGGCCCGAAACTGATCTCAGAACATTCAGACAAGTCCCCGTCGCATCAAGCCATGCCTCTCTTTGAACTCTCCAAGTTCTTGCCCCTGTGCCTGGCCTTGCAGGGGCACGCGGCAGATCTCCTCTGCGAGGACTCTTGAGGGCGGGTGTGGGGGGGGGGGGGGGGGCTGCCAGGGGGCACAAGACGGACAGGACGCAGAGCCGCAAGCCCCGCGAGACGTGAGCCCTGGCTACGTCGGGGAAAGGCTCACCAGGCTCGGCTGACCGTGGGAGAGCAAAGCGTGCGCCGCCGCATGTGACGCATTGTGACGGGTGTCTGTGACGCAGGTACGAGCCCTACGGCTCGGTTTTTGTCCCCAGGCAAGCTGCCGAGAAGTCTCAAAAGCTTCAAAAGCTTATGTATGTATGTATGCATGCATGTATGTATGTATGTATGCATGTATGTATGTATGTATGTATGTATGTGTGCATGTGTGTATGTATGTATGTATGTACATACGTGCGTACGTACATACGTAGGTAGGTAGGTAGATATGTATGCGTATGTACGTGTTTGTATGTGTATGTATGTGTATGTATGTGTATGTATGTGTATGCATGTGTATGTATGTGTATGAAGATGTGTGTATGTGTGTATGTGTGTATGTATGTGTGTATGTGTGTATGTATGTGTGTATGTGTGTATGTATGTGTGTATGTGTGTATGTGTGTATGTGTGTATGTGTGTATGTGTGTATGTGTCTTTTTATATTCATATAGATATCATGCCTAAATCCTAAACCCTGAGAAGCAGCCTCATGCCAAGTGCCCCACCACCAGTGAAAGCCTCTGTGAGGTTCGAGCAGGTGAACATCCACTGGCACCTGGGCGCTGAGCACCGCATGGAGGAGCAGTACGACCGGCGGCCGCCGGCGTGGGCGCGGCGCCTAAAAGGATGCGCATTGAGAGTTCAAGGTTTAGGGTATTTTGGGGTGATAGGACCCAGGTCGCGCCATATGCCACGTGAAGCAATACCTATTCGAATTTTGAGGCGAGCAACGTGACGGTGGAGAAGGACGGCGAGCAAGAGCTTGTAGTGCCTGGCCTGTGGTGCCCTACAGACGGCTGCCCTGCCGCAGAGGGCTTTTGCATGTCGGGTCTCGGTCATGTGATGTCAAGGGTTAAGTGTTAAGGGTTTAGGGTTGTGGCGCGCATCTGAGGCATCAATGACACTCTGCTGGAGGAAGAATCCTACACCTTCCAGCACTGCAAAGCCGCGCGGGTCGGCGGCGTGTGCCCCCCCGCGTCGTTGGATCTGCAGTCTCGCACTGCCAGGACAGCTCTTGGAGACTCTGAGTCTCGGATAGCAGGTACGAATTCCACTGGGTCTTCTCCACGGGAGGCCGGCTGTCGGGCGCAGCGCGGCGCTGCGGGATCGTATGTCTGCACAGGTCCTGGCACGCTCCAGGAGGATGGCAGCGAGGGAGAGCTTGGCATATCGTGCTCGGGCTGCAGAAGCCCAAGTGGGGCTAGGATGGGCTAGGTAAGGCAGAAGGGCTATTTTGGTACAGAGAGGGCCCTGCGGTCGGCAGGGCGGGCTTGGGCGGTGCCTTCAATCGCACCAACAATGCCGATGTCATCGTGCGGGCTCAGGCCAGAGATGGCCCGAGCTTCCCAAAACCCATAACAGAGTGGGCTCAGCGGCTCAGCGTGCAGATTTGCCTCATCGTGAACGACCCTAATGCTACTGCCGGGCCGGTCTGCCTCTCAGCCGTGGCACTGTGGTAGGATGTGACAGCTTCTCTTTGCATTCTAGCCATATTATATAGCCTCGATCTGGACGCTGCAGAACGACTACTTCAACGCCGAAGGGAAGCCTTTCCTCGAGGAGTGGAGACAGCCCCCAGCGGGTTCGGCTGTGCGCTACGTGGGCTCCACCACCGGAACCGCCTACGATGACGAGGCCTTGCTGCACCTCGGGCGGAAAGGCGTGTGTTGTCGCACTTGTCGCATCCTGTGGTGCCAGGTCTGCTCGCCTGTGGAGGTGAACTGGCACGTGGACCAGCGGTGCTGCCATCTGTCTGCCCAGGCCATGGACAAGCTCTGCGAGGTGGGGCGGGCGCGGGGGGGGCAGGCACCTTGCAGGAGAGGTCATGAAAAACCGCATCTACATAGGCCTACATAGGCCAGTGCAGTTCAGTAGGTTGCGGGTGAGGGAGGGGCAGCCATGGACTGGCGCTTCCGCAGGACATGATTGCGGTCGGTCTCGAGACCGATGTCGCGCCGAAAGGCTCCCGGCGACCCGTGGACAGGCGCTGGGTCTCTGATGCGCCTCGGCCTCCTTGCTCCTTAAGCCCCAAAACCCTCAAACCCTAAACCCCGAAACTTCCCGAAGCCCCTGACTCACGATGACCTCAAGAGGAGCTGAAACTGAAGATTCTAGAGACCGTGCTGCTCAGTTTCCTGATCAGATCACGTTTCCCCTCGTCCCCATCGGAGCTGGCATCGTCGTGCAGTGAGGAGGCCTATGGGCCCGGGGGTGTGCATTGACCCTCAACACCAACGGGCTGGTTCTTAGTGAGGAATGAGGGAATGAGGTACCTATACAATCCCCGAAAATTATGTATATGTATATATATATATATATAGGGCTCGAACTCCCTCGTTCCCTACTAAGAACCAGCCAGACAACCCTGTATTCCCTAAGCTCTGAATCAACCCTAAAGGTTGTGCTGCTTCTTGTCCCTGGCTGTGGTGTCAGGGCGCCGGAGAAGTGCTGACATCGGAAGGACGCCATTTTAATTTTAGAATTTTGTGGATGGCACCCCTTTAGCCATCCCCCACTCTACAGAAAGTCGGAAAAATCTGAGCCGCAAGCAAGCCTGGCAGTGGACCCAAGTCCAGCTGGGAGTGCCCATGGCGGCAGGTTGACCGGAGGGTGGTCGGTGCTTCCCTGTACATCTCCCGCAGCATTGGCCCTCCCTCGGGATGCGTTGCTCTTTTTCGATTTGCCGTAATGATATGTCCCCTGTTTCAAGGAAGGTCTTTGAGAAGGATTTCGAAGGCCTCCTTACGATGTGCGGTATCCATCGCGCCGTCGCCAAAACAATCCTAAACCCTAAGCCCTCAACGAGTGGAGCTGACGTGAGCGCAAGGCCCGCGGCCCGGGCCACGCAGGAGCACTTGTCATGACCGTCGCTTAAGAAGCGTTGCTCTCTCTAAATTCGGGGTTCCCAAAAAGATTTAGGGTCCTCCAGAACGGCAAACTCCCCCCAAGAACTGCCCAATCTGCGGCCTTGGCTTTGCAGCCTCGTTTTGCAACCTTTCCTCTTAAGGCGCTTTGGCTTTAACAAAAGGGCCCCCCCCGAGCATCCCCGGGCCCGAAGCCATGCGGCTCTGCCTCGTCTTCGCCATCTTTGCCAGCGCCGTGGCTCAGGACCGCACTTGGGGAGATCTCGGCTCTGGCCCTCCCTGTGTGGGTCCCCGAACTCACCCTTGGTAAGAGTATCCCCACAAGGGGGACCGCGGCTTTGAGGACCCCTTCCCTCCCCCTCCTCTGCCCTTTTCTTGGTCTTGTTTTGGTGTTCGCTTGTGGCTTCTGGGCTTGCGTCCCCTCCTTGCAGGACAGCGGAAGCTGCGAGGATTCCGCCTTGGTGCAGCCATTTGGCTCAGAATATGCCGTGACTATATATAGGGGTCGGAAGAATTACTAAGGGTCTTCCCTTGTGGTCCTTGTATATTTATTCTTTAAGAACACCCCAAAAACCCTGTTCTAGAATTTTTTGCGGCCCCAAAAGTATAGCGGGGGCTGGGTCCCTTGCCAGGTTCAAGAGGAAGCAGAGCCTTCGACCCTCCACCGCCCTGCCGCAATTCAATCCCGTGCGACTTGGCTGCCCTCCAGTGCGTAGCTGGCGTCCCATTTGCACTTGAGCGTCCGAGGGCTCTGGCGGCCACGGCGAAACGCGAAACGCCGCAGTTGCAGTGCACTGACGCAGAGCCCCAGTCCCCCCGGGACGTTACTCCGGGCTTCCGCGGTGGTCAGGAGGCCAGGGTGAAGCCCCTGGACGGGGACGCCACGCCGCGCTTCATCCAGGCCAACATCCACTTCCACCTGGGTGCAGAGCAGCCTGCTGAGTATTGCAAGCCTTTGCAAGCTTTCCAGAGTTTGGTAGGCATCCCAATGTCAGTTGCGATGTGCCTTTCAAGTCATGTGCCTGTTATCGCGTCCATGTAGCGGCCTGCAGACATCGCACAGGCACAGGAGCGCCGTCCCCAATGGTTACAGCAAGACGCCGGACGAGGTGGGCTTCACAGAGCCCTTGGTGCGCCCGGAGAATGCCTCAGACATCCGAGCCGGCTACTTCTGCGACCTGGATAACATCAGCAACACCGACCTGCAGAACTATTCCTTCAGCTTCTGCAAAGGTGTCCAAGTGGGCTACACCTACGAGTTTCACTGGGTCTTCTCGACGGGCGCTCCACTCATCGGCCTCCGGGACGAAGGCGGCGAGGGTATCTTGGGCATCTCGGACGGGCTGGGTGGTGCGCTGAACCGGACGGTGAACCCCAAAATCATCGTCCGAGGACAGGTCTGCCGCATCATCTACAACCAGAGCCTCACGGACGTCGACGCGGACTACAACGACTTCGTGCACCGCTGGCGGCAACCGGCCTTTGGCAACGCCGTCCGCTACATCGGCTCCACCACGGGCACGGACTTCAACAACAGCGTCTGCTCGCCCCTGGAGGTCAACTGGCATGTGGACATGAATTGCTGCACCCTCTCGGCCCAGACCTTTGACAGGCGCCCCGGTGGAACCAAGTCAAGAGAGCCCAATGCCGGGCAGCTAGCTAAAACTCATGTGCTTGCCGCCCAAGGCTCTGTGAAGAAATGGCAGGCCGCCGTGGTGAGCTGACAGTCCACCCTTTAAGTCTACGAAGGGTCCGAAGCGCTAACGTAATGCTAGACTGAACTGCCCTACATAGCCGAACCTCTCGGCAGGAGAGGGCCTGGACAAGGACCTTGCGCCCAAGCCCTCGCGGGAACTCGCCGCCAGGCTGCAGCAAGCCTGCCTCAGCCTCGCTCTGCAAAGCCCGTCAGTCGATTCAATTCCATTCAGGCTTTACAACCAAGTATTTCGCTGCCTGCACAGTAGGGGGAATCCAGCCTCCTGCGGCTCTTCCCAAGTCCAGAAGGTTCTGCAGACAGAGTTGTGCTGGATGAATCCTCTGTGAGAGAACGAGCTGGGGAGCGTGTGGTGCACAATGATGCCAGTGTTTCATCTTTTGCATCCAAAGCTTCGGCAATCATGGGGCGCAAACAAGCAGACTCAGCAACCGAGTCCTGCACCTGGTTCCAGACACTGCAACGGCTGATGATGGGGTTCTGCTGGTGGCGGATCTGGGTTGTCGGTTTGCAGAGCCATGACAATCTGCATGCAACGCAGTGCTGGAAGTTTCGAAGATCAACGCTCGGTACACGGATCTCGGGTGTGGACGGCCAGCTGACGGTTTCGAAGATCATTGCTCGGTAAGTGGATCTCGCGTTACAGGAATCTCGAGGGGTGCACTGTGTATCTAGCGCATGTTGAGATTACGTCTGTGATGCACGATGCGACCGACCGCTCAAAAGCACATCCTCTGATGCCGGAATCGTTGTTTGACTTGAACCCCCTCCCACCGTAGCAGGGTTCTTGAGTCGAGGGTTTTTCAAGTTCATGCCCAGCACCGTCGAGTCTTGGCGCTCAAGTTCAAATGATAAAGTTCCAGACAAGCTTGACACGAAGCATGTCCTCTGCATGACTGGTCTCGTGCGCTCATGGCCTACGGATGCCTAGGGATGCCTACGGCATCCCATGTAATTCGATCTTCATCGGGGAGTTGCGCCAGTACTACTCGTATCATTTGACGAATTCACGAATTTTTCGCGTTGTCTCGCGTTCCTTGTTGGACATGGTGTGTGCACACCGCGGCCTGCAGGTCGCTGAGAACCTGCATGTACGGCTGCGAGCTTCAACCCGACTCTTCCCAAACTCCTAAGACTCCGGTCATCCTAAGAACCCGAAGACTCCCTAATGGCCCCACCCTAAACCCTAAACCCTAAACCCTTAAACCCTAAACCCTAAGCCCTAAACCCTAAACCCTAAACCCTAAACCCTAAACCCTAAGCCCTAAGCCCTAAACCCTAAACCCTAAACCCTGAACCGAAAGCAGCCGAGGTCAGCCGTGAGATCTCCGCGGCCGTGGCCTTCCCGCTGTATCCCTCCCCGCTGCCCCCAGCCCCAGTTCCGACCTCGACGTGCCTCGGAGGCCAACAGAAACCTGGCTTTTGGGTGTATTGTTCAGGCTCAATCTGAGATATACTTGTGTTAACGATTGTATTACAATACAAGATTTTTCTGATCATGTCTTGTTCTGTTTTTCCCCACCCTCGGTGTGGGGTTGTTGGATTCTAAACTCAACTCTCGGTCTACTCCTCGCTCAGCCCTGGAGTACCCGAGAGTGTCCCTGGAGTGCCCAAACCCCAGACCGCAGAGTGTCCCTGGAGTGCCCAACCCCAGAGTCCAGAGTGCCCAAACCCAGAGTGTCCCTGCCAGAGCCTGGAGTGCCCGAGTAGGGTTCACAAGGGGTGTAATGAATGGGGTTTCACAAGGTTTTGGGTTTTTGGGGTTTGCATGGCCCATCTACCTTGGGAAGTCCTTTGTCAGTGGTCGTAGGGAAGGTGACATTTGATCTAGCTGCAGGGTTCATGTCGGTTCCCAAGGTCTACTCCCCGCTAGTCGACGAGGAGCCCCTGATGGAGTCTGGCAAACCCTGGAACCTATAATTCGAGCGTTGGCGTGGGTAATTTTGATGGCTGGCCGCTTAGGCTGGCCACTCCTTCACAGTCTGGAAAGCTTGGCAGTGGACCCAAGTCCAGCCGGGCTTGCCCCGACGTGATCCTTTTATAGAACAGTTTCAATTTTCGGGTTGAGAGAGATGTTGAGCGTCCTTAACTTTAAACAGCATTTCGCTCGAGAGAGAGAGAGGGAGAGAGACAGAGAGAGAGCGAGAAAATTGAAGCTTCGCGACTGCAGGGGCAAGAAGGAAGTCTTTCGGATGCTCCAAAGAAACTGACTGCTAAGAGCACCAAAAGACGCAGCGGCGAAGATTTCCTTCATCCGGCCATCGCGCAGGAAAAGATGCGTGCTGCGTGCCGGCGCCGATGTTATGCCACCCTCCGCGCGCACTGATACAGGGCAGCTCTTCTGCCAGATTGTTTGGCTGAACAGGGCCAGTTTAGAACGGCTGCCAGGCGCGTCTTCGTTCCCCATGGCCATCGCCAGGAGCCTCATCCTTCTCCTTGGCCTTGCAGCCGCAGCGCCTGGACTTTCAGAAAGGTTTGGGGCCCCCCCCCGAACCCTACTCCAGAGATCCTTAAAAATGGGACCCTGAGCTAAAACAACCTAAGCCCTGAACCCTAAACTGCTTGAACCCTACTATAGAGATCCTTAAAAAGAGGACCCTGAGCTAAAACACCCTAAGCCCTAAGCCCTAAGCCCTAAGCCCTAAGCCCTAAGCCCTAAGCCCTAAGCCCTAAGCCCTAAGCCCTAAGCCCTAAACCCTAAACTGCCTGAACCCCTGTGGCTCTCCTGGGCCCATGTTATAGTAAAAACCCTAATCCCTATGCCCTAAGCCCTAAACTTTAAACCCTAAACCTTACACCCTAAACCCTAAACCCTAAACAACCCTCAACCCTCAACCCTCAACCCTAAACCCTAAACCGCCTGCATGTTACGGGCGCGTTCTGCCCCAAGGACTGCCAGGGCGACTGCGAGGTTGAGGATGCGTCTCTGATGCAGGAGGGTCCTGCCCAGACGCCTGGCAAGGTCCATGACGCGTTTTTAGGGTTTAGGTTTAGGGTTTAGGGTTTAGGGTTTAGGGTTTGGGGTTTAGGGGACGGTTGAGAAAGAGGGCCGATGCCCGATTCTGTACAGAAAACCCTTACTTGCAGGGCTTAGGGTTTGTGGTTTCGGGTTTAGGGGCCTATCTGCTATGCTGCCTTCAATCGAGGTCCGCCGTGCAGGATTATTGGCCGCGAGGGCATTGGAGGCCCTGGGGCCAGAACCACTGGCACCAACCGCACTACTACCAGACGAAATACTACCAGAGTTACAAAAATTGGCTCCTAGGTCGGCCGTACGGCCGTAGAGATTTTTTACAGTTTTTTCCCGGCTTTGGTTTAAGAGGATCATGTTTTCAGGGTTTATAAGGGCCGTCCTAGGCACAAGTATTACGAGTACACAGCCAAGACCACATCCGTGGCACCCTCGACCTCCAACGCAGCCTCGACCTCCAACGCAGCCTCGACCTCCAACGGCGGGGTCTCGACCTCCAACGCAGCCTCGACCACCAGTGGGGCGCCCGCGCCCCCGCCCAGCATCCTTCTATGCACCGACGCGGAGCCCCAGGCGCCCCGGGACCTGACGCCCGGCTTCATAGGCGGTCTAGAGGCCAGGGTGGAGCCCTTGGACGGGGACGCCACGTCGCGCTTCATCCAGGCCAACATCCACTTCCACCTGGGTGCAGAGCAGCCTGCTGAGTATTGCAAGCCTTTGCAAGCTTTCCGGAGTTTTGTAACATCCCAGTGTCAGTTGCGACGTGCCGAGCTTTCTAGGTCATGTTTTTGTTATGGCAGCCTGCAGACATCGCACAGGCACAAGAGCGACATCCCCAATGGTTACAGCAAGACGCCGGCCGAGGTGGGCTTCAACGAGCCCTTGGTGCGCCCGGAGAATGCTTCAGACATCCGAGCCGGCTACTTCTGCGACCTGGATAACATCAGCAACGCCGACCTGCAGAACTATTCCTTCAGCTTCTGCAAAGGTGTCCAAGTGGGCTACACCTACGAGTTTCACTGGGTCTTCTCGACGGGCGCTCCACTCATCGGCATCCGGGACGAAAGCGGCGAGGGTATCTTGGGCATCTCGGACGGGCTGGGTGGTGCGCTCGCCCGGACGGTGAACCCCAAAATCATTGTCCGAGGACAGGTCTGCCGCATCATCTACAACCAGAGCCTCGTAGACGTCGACGCGGACTACAATGACTTCGTTCACCGCTGGCGGCAGCCGCCCGAGGTTCGTGGCGTCCGCTACATCGGCTCCACCACGGGCACGGACTTCAACAACAGCGTCTGCTCGCCCCTGGAGGTCAACTGGCACGTGGACACGGAATGCTGCACCCTCTCGGCCCAGACCTTTGACAGGCGCCCCGGTGGAACCAAGTCAAGAGAGCCCCATGCCGGGCAGCTAGCTAAAACTCATGTGCTTGCCGCCCAAGGCTCTGTGAAGAAATGGCAGGCCGCCGTGGTGAGCTGACAGTCCACCTAAGTCGAAGGGCTGCGCAAACCTGGGCAGGAGAGGGCCTGGAAAAGGACCTTGCGCCCAAGCCCTCGCGGGTACTTGCCGCGCACTCATCTGCTGTGTTCTCGCTCCCCTACACCCTGTAAACACCTAAAGCCAAAGTATCTATGACATGCATACATACATACATATAGATAGATAGATATACCCTGTAGCAACATATATGAACCCTCTATGAAGAACCCTATAAGACCTCAGCAGCCCCCAAACCGCTTTACTCAGGTCAGCCCGGAGATCTCCTCGGTGAATACCTTCCCACTGGCCGTGTCCCCCCTCCCCCCGAGCACGCCCCCATAACCAGAAGTCACCTCGGAAAGGAGCAGCTGTAAAATTTCGGTAGCCCACTTCTGCTGCACAAATTTGGCAAAATTTTTGGACTCCTCCTGGAAGCTCCCTATTGAGTCCCAGTGCTTGGCAGTGGACCCAAGTCCAGCCGGGCTTTCCTGGGCTTGCGACAGGGTGCAGCTTCGGGGGGCCTTGTGGCGAGCCGCGCGGGACGCCCGATCGACAACCATGGTCTCGCGCGGCAACCCTGACTTAAGCCCTGTCTTTTAATTCCTTTGGCTCGGCAGCTTGGAATCTCGTAAGGCATCTTATGCCGCTTGATCGAGATCTTTGCTCAGCTGGGATGGTTGTGGACCACGCGGTTGTTAGCCGCATTTCGTGCCACTGACAACCGACACACATTACAGCGTGACTAAAATGTTTCGAGGTCGTTGAAGACGCTGATGGGTTGACGCTGGTATTCATGATAACTAGAACTTTTATGTGGATCACGTCTGCGCCGACCGCACTGGACTGCAGGCCGCCAAGCCCTGCTGCATCTTCAGAAGCGCCCGACTCTCAGGGAGCCCGACCAGGAAGGTCTAAACCCTAAACCCTAAACCCTAAACCCTACACCCGAAACCCTAAACCCTAAACCCTAAATGAGACGGAATGAGACGTTCTCCTGTTCATGGGACCACATGTCCGTGCTTCGCCCAAATTTCTTCCACTCACAGGCTTCAGCCCCTGGTGAATCACACGCCCATCCTCGGGCTTTTCAATAGTACAATAGATACAAGACCACAAGAAGAAGAGTCTGAATATGTAGTAGAACAATAGGCTCTCCGTGATTGCACCGGGCAAGTCCTGTACAGCCGGCTTCACAAATATTCGTAAGAATAGTAGTCATAGTAACAAAAGCAATAGTAGCAACTAGTAATAGCAGTAATACGAGTAATCATAGTAAGTAATCATCCTAGTCATCGTAATCATTGTTAACACCCACACACTTGCAGGCGCAAGCTGTCGAAGGTGGGTGGTTGGTTGGGTGGTTGGGTGGTTGGGTGGTTGGGTGGTTGGGTGGTTGGGTGGTTGGGTGGTTGGGTGGTTGGGTGGTTGGGTGGTTGGGTGGTTGGGTGGTTGGTTGGTTGGTTGGTTGTTTGTTTGTTTGTTTGTTTGTTTGTTTGTTTGTTTGTTTGTTTGTGTGTGTGTGTGTGTGTGCGTGGGTGTGTGGGTGTGTGGGTGTGTGGGTGTGCGGTGTGTGTGTGTGTGTGTGTGTGTGTGTGTGTGTGTGTGTGTGTGTGTGTGTGTGTGTGTGTTTGTGCGGTGTGTGCGGTGTGTGGCGTGTGGTGGGTGCGGTGGTGTGTTTGTTGTGTGTGTGTGTGTGTGTGTTGGTGTGTGTTTGTGTTGGTGTGTGTTGTGTGCGCGTGCGTGCCGTGCGTGCGTGTTGTGTGTTTGTGTGGGTGGTGTGTGTGGTGTGTGTTGGTGTGTGTTGGTGTGTGTTGGTGTGTGTTGGTGTGTGTTGGTGTGTGTTGGTGTGTGTTGGTGTGTGTCGGTGTGTGTCGGTGTGTGTCGGTGTGTGTCGGTGTGTGTCGGTGTGTGTCGGTGTGTGTCGGTGTGTGTCGGTGTGTGTCGGTGTGTGTCGGGGTGTGTCGGGGTGTGTCGGGGTGTGTCGGGGTGTGTCGGGGTGTGTCGCGGTGTGTCGCGGTGTGTCGCGGTGTGTCGCGGTGTGTCGCGGTGTGTCGCGGTGTGTCGCGGTGTGTCGCGGTGTGTCGCGGGGTGTCGCGGGGTGTCGCGGTGTGTCGCGGTGTGTCGAGGTGTGTCGCGGTGTGTCGCGGTGTGTCGCGGTGTGTCGCGGTGTGTCGCGGTGTGTCGCGGTGTGTCGCGGTGTGTCGCGGTGTGTCGCGGTGTGTCGCGGTGTGTCGCGGTGTGTCGCGGTGTGTCGCGGTGTGTCGCGGTGTGTCGCGGTGTGTGGCGGTGTGTGGCGGTGTGTCTCGGTGTGGGAGTGTGGGTGTGTGTGAGTGTGTGAGTGTGTGTGTGTGTGTGTGTGTGTGTGTGTGTGTGGGTGTGTTGTGTGTGTGTGTGTGGTTGTGTGTGTGTGTGTGTGTGTGTGTGTCGGTGTGTCGTGTGTGTGTGTGTGTGTGTGTGTGTGTGTGTGGTGTGTGTCGGTGTGTGTCGGTGTGTGTGTGTGTGTTGTGTGTGTGTGTGTGTCGGTGTGTGTCGGTGTGTGTGTCGGTGTGTGTGTGTGTGTGTGTGTTGTGGTGTGTGTGTGTGTGTGTGTGTCGGTGTGTGTGTGGTGTGTGTGTTGTGTGTGTGTGTGTGGGTGTGTGTGTGTGTGTGTGTGTGTGGTGTGTGTGTGTGTGTGTGTCGGTGTGTGTGTGTGTGTGTGTGTGTGTGTGTGTGTGTGTGTGTGTTGTGTGTCGGTGTGTCGGGTGTGTGTGTGTGTGTGTGTGTGTGTGTGTGTGTGTGTGTGTGTGTGTGTGTGTGTGTGTGTGTGTGTGTGTGTGGTGTGTGTGTGGTGTTGGTGTGTCGGTGTGTGTGTGTGTGTGTGTCGGTGTGTCGTGTGTGGTGTGTGGTGTGTGTGTGTGTGTGTGTGTGTGTGTGTGTCGGTGTGTCGGTGTGTCAGTGTGTCGGTGTGTCGGTGTGTCGGTGTGTCAGTGTGTCGGTGTGTCGGTGTGTCGGTGTGTGTGTGTGTGTCGGTGTGTCGGTGTGTCGGTGTGTCGGTGTGTCGGTGTGTCGGTGTGTCGGTGTGTCGGTGTGTCGGTGTGTCGGTGTGTCGGTGTGTCGGTGTGTCGGTGTGTCGGTGTGTCGGTGTGTCGGTGTGTCGGTGTGTCGGTGTGTCGGTGGGTCGGTGGGTCGGTGGGTCGGTGGGTCGGTGTGTCGGTGTGTCGGTGGGTCGGTGTGTCTGTCGGATGTCTCTGTGTCTGCGTCTGTGTGTGTCTGTGTCTGTGTCTGTGTCTGTGTCTGTGTCTGCGTCTGTGTCTGTGTCTGTGTGCTTGTGTGAGGCCAAACCGCAACCCTAAGTTTTGTGACCCCAATGCATTTCAGGAAAACACCCCAAATTGCCCAAACCAAAGCCTGAGACCTGAATTCTAAATCCGAAGTGCGGACCCATTCGCCATTAATTCCTGCGCCTAACCCAGAAGCGTTCTCTGTCGGGCTCCTTGTCCAAGGCCTCAAGATCTGCAAGCATCTCTTCGAGTTTCCGTGAGCAGCCTCAGCAAGCAAATCAGGGTTTAGGTTCAGGGTTTCCCCCTGCACTGTCTGTTTCGGAGAAATGTCGAGATTCACCAGGGTTGGAAGGGAAATAAGCTTGAGAACATGTCGGCGTTGTCAGTTCTGATTTTGGTGGGACTCAGACGATGTGGGTTTTTTTTGGGTGCTCGAGCCGCCCCCCCCCATGAGCGCTGAACTTCACTGCGTTTGGTGCTGGTCTGCCGCGTGCAGGGGCTATGAAGATTTGGGGTTGGGGCGGGTTGCGGCGGGTTGCTGGCATGTAGGGGGCCCTTCAACAATGAGAGAAGGTGTGTCCCTGGCAGCTTGTGCCTTGAATGCGAGCATGGCCCAGCATGGCTGCTGATTGTAATGAGTTGGGGAGGCAGCCGGTCGCTTGTGAAGAGGTTGACATGCCCTTGGCTAGGCCCCTTGGCGCAAGCTTCGCGCGTGAGATGAGCTTCCGTCCTCTTCTGGCCCATCTGGAGATGTGTGCTGCAAAGGTGCGGCACGAGCAGTGGTGCGCACGATTCCGACAGAGCATGGACATCTTGTGCTTGGGATGTGTGTGCAAGCATTTGCTCGAGCATAGGTGGCTTGAGATAATTTGTCAAGTAGACGCAGTCGTCTCATCTGGGAAGTTACTTCAATGAAGGTAACTTCGCTTCTTCCTCTCCTCCTTGTCCGGGCCTTGTGTTTAGAGGAATGTGATGCGTCGGCAGAACTCCAAACAGTGCACCAGAGGGTTATGGACCTGAAGAATGCTGCGGATGGGAGCGAAGAGATCGAAGAGAGCCAGCCATGGCCAACGAAGGATGCAGTTGAGGCCGGCACCACTGTGTGCAAGCAAGGTGTGCAAAGCTGGAACTCTTTTTCGGACGGTGAGGTGATTAAGGGTACGACCCACTTGCTGGGCGGTTTGGCTCCAGTTGCGGGCTTGGTGCTCGCGGAGCCGGAAGCTCTCTTGGTAGCAGGTGGCCTTGGCATGATCGGAGGCCTCTTCGGCAGCGAAGGTGATGCAGGAATCAGCAATGAAGATCTCCTTGACACGATGCAGGAGGGCTTCCGAAATATCTCGATAAAGCTTGACGAGATGGACATGAAGCTGGACAGCATGCAGAGGCAGCTGACCGAGATGCAACTGCAGCTCCAGGTCTTACAGGCGACCATGACCACGTACGTGGTTGGCCAGTTGAGCATCATCCAGGACATTTCGGGAGAGTTTCGTAACATCCTGCAGTTGGGGGACGCTGCTCGGAAAGCGCCAGACTTGCACATGCGGGACTTCAAAAGGCAAATCGACTTTGCAGTGGTGACTTACGGAAAGGAGCTGTACCCCCCGGCGGGTTGCTTGAGTGCTGGGAACTTGGCGAATGTCTTGCGAGATCCGGCTGTCAGTATTTGTGACGCTGGCGACTTCTACAAACAAGTCATCGCCGCTCGGTATGAGATGTTCTTCATGATGCAGATGAACGAGTATTTCAAGGACTCCGATACGATCTCCCAGCTGAAGCACCTGAACGCCTCGCAAATAAAGGAGCTGCAGCAGCACCGAGCAGACGCTGCGAGCACCCTACTGGCCCAGCTCTCCGAGCAGTTGGAGACCTACAAGAAGACAGCCGAAAACCTCAGGCCATCACCCGAGCAGTTCTTGCGGTGGGCCTTTCGGACCCGGGAGAGTTGCCAAGCTGCTTGCATGACAGCAGAGTGTAACCTCGGGACACGCGTGGGCGAAAGGACTTGGTGCCTTTGGACCTCGGGAGCTTATGGATTGGAGGGAACGGTTGAGAAGTGCCACCAGTTTGGGAGGTTTGTTTTGAACTCAGACGGCTACGTGCAAAACTTTCGCAACAGCTACACTGCTAGTTGCCTCACTCTCCTTGCAAAGAACTATACCTATCCAAAGAAGTCAGCCATCACCTTAATGCCATGCAAAGATGTGGCGGATGCGAGGATGGTCTTCAGGATGACGGACTCAGGCACACTACGTGCCCTGGATGCCAGATTGACTCTTCCCCACGTGCCGATGTGGTGGTGCCTGACGATCGATTTTGCTGAAGGACATGTCTCCAAGTATAGCGACGATTACAGGCTGGGCACGGTTGACTGCGCCGATCCGGATGCCCTGCAGTGGCAGGCAATTACCTGGCAGGATATTTCCTCGCCGTGACGGAAATAAGCCACCTGCCCGGGTGGTTTCCGGTCGGCGAGGCTGATGGGCCCCCCCTGCCAAGGTGGTTTTTGCATTTTTGAACAGAGAGAGTTCAGGGAATGTGCAGCCCTTCAGCCGCGTACAAAGGGGCTGGCGCGATGGTGTTGCAAGTGATCAGCTTCGGATGATCAAATTCGTTTGCCCTCTCTTAGGATGGCACCGCATACTTTCAAAGCTTTTCACTTGCGATTGCAAAGTTCAAGAGGTCCGTTATCGCTTCAAGGGAAGATCTCCAGTCTCTAACTCTTCATCTGAATGGAGCGATTGATGGTGGTTGCATGACATGCGCCACAGCTCTAGTGAAATGTCTTTGGCCTGGCTGCTTCGGAGCAATGTCGAGATTCGGCCGGCGTTGGAAGAGAAAGAAGCTTGATATAGCTTATTATGGCTTGATAACATGTCCGCGTTGTGACTTCTTGCGCGATTCAGAGGCATGGAGTGTGAGCTGGCGCAGGTGAAACTCAACGCGCCCAGCACGGCCTTCGAGGATCGTTTGCACGGGGTCCCAAGTGATCTTATGGATGTGTTTGTGAGGACGGTAAAATAAAGGTTTGGTGAGGGGGTGTGATTCGTCTGATTCGTCAGGTACCTAAGTGCATGTGACAAGTATGGTCAAGTCTTGTAGCTTGTGAAGCCCTGAACAATGAGAGAAGGTGTGGCCTGTTGTAATTGTAAACGCTTGCGTGCGGCGCCTCGGTAGCTGGGCCGGCCCAGAGCATGCAGTATGTGGAGATGACGCCCTCTAGGGGGGTCCCGTCCCACGGGGGCGTCCCAGTGGGTGGTTAGGGGGAAGAGGGGGAAGGTTTTATGAAGGTTTGAGGGGTTGGACAGGCATCCAATGCAGGGCGTAGGGGCCCCGCAAGGCCTGGGGGGGCGGGGGAGGGGAGGGGGGGGGGAGGGGGGTGAGGGGGGGAGGGCGAGGGGGGGCGTTGAGACCTAAAACAGGACCTCAACAGCTTCGCGGACAGGTTCGGGTTACGGGTTTGTCTGGGTTTGGATGGCTTTGGGTTTAGGGTTTAGGGCCTTCAAGTTCTTAGGGTTCGGGGTCTAACCCTGTCAGGTTATGACCAGTTTCGTGCTTCGGGCTTTGAGGGTCTTCAAGGTAGGGTTGGCTTCAAGCATGAGGGCGGATGCCTCAGCCCTAGGGAAGTACGAGAAGAAGCCTTAAACCGCAAGCCGCCAACTTCTCAAGAAGCCTAGAGCATGACAGGCCTAGCTCTGAGCTCGCTATTCTGGAAACTCTGCGTAGCGCTCGCCATTTTCCTCGACTTCCCGCTTCAACTCGCTCTCTTACGGGTGCTTGGAGGTTCAGGGTACTCATAACATCTCATAACCACAACAATACCTGTACTTGTACCCCCCCCCTAAGTCTTCTAAGTAGATTATAAGTAGACTCACAAACCTCCAGGTCGGCAGCGCGCGTGTGGGGGGGAGGCCGGGCCGAGAGGCAAAGGCCATCGTGCAACCGCGGCGCGGGCTTGAGCGGATTGAGGATTTCGGGTTAGGGTTTGGGGCTCAGAGCGTTTCTTTTCGGGTCTGGGGTTTAGGATTTTTTGGGGTTTCGGGTTTAGGGCTTTACGGCCTTGGGGGTTTGGGATTTCGGGTTTACTGTTGAGGGTTTAGCATCTTAGGATTTAGAGGTCTAGGGCTTGCAGGGCTTCAGGATTTTCGGGATGTATGCGTTGTATGTCACCAGACCCTTCACCCCAGCAGACCCGGGGCTTCGCATCATTTTGGCCCCGAGGCCCTCTGAACTCCAACAAGCCTGAGCGCTTTTTGTAGGTTATTTATGTTCTTGCCTTTTGGGGTTTGTGGGGGGAGGGCTGTGCTCTCTTGGTTGGTCATGCACACTGGCCGCAGAAAGGCAGCTGCCAAGTACCTGAATGGGCATTCAGAGGGTTGGTCACCGAAGCATCGGTGCCGCTTCAGACACGTCTCGGAGTACTGGAACACTGCAGATCGCAGAGGTGCTATGATTGGGCATGCTAGGCTGTGCCAGCCCGAAGGAACCTACAGTAACAGTAACGATCGAAAAGCACAGTGTAAAGACAGTATAGTCTACAGCGTAATTGAATATACTATCCTTTACTAGACGATTCGCTGCAAACCACGGTGCTATGTTGGATGCAGTATACTCTTCGTCCAGGTGTTCGCAAAGCAGAAGGCCGTGAATGTCCAAGCAGGGTTCCCCAGACAGCTCGCCGTTGCTTCAGCTTGCTTCGCGTGCGGGCCCTTCGTGACGGCAGTATGCTTTATCAGTTTAGGGTTTAGGGTTACTGCAGTCTTTTTTGCTGCGCTGCCCTGTTTTCATGCACAGGGATCTGTGATCATGTGCATGCATTCTTCACGATCGCTTTCAGCTGTGGTGTTCGGCTTAGCGCATCTCTCCTGGTATGGCAACAGTACTTGTTATTCCTACTGACCTATTGGGCACTTTACGGCGCATTTATGTAGAGTGTGTAGTAGAGTATTTCCTGCCATTCAGCTGCGTGAGTGAGAGTGAGTGATTTCCTGCTGTGAAGATACAGCTGATGACTTGGGCCCCTCTTCTGACGCCTAAATGGGCACTGTGTCGGGTGTGAGGATGCTACTGGTGAATACCCTCTTTGACCGTGCCACCCCCCTATGCCAGTGCCAAGAAGATGCGAAAGTCTTTTCCTGGTGCTCTATGGCCGATTTCTTGAATAACATACGGGGGTTCACGAGAATAGGGGACCCCCATTATAGATCCCCAAACAGGATTCCCTCATGATAAGGACCTCCTTTAGGTACCTCCTAACTTCTGCTAGTCTGCACGAAGGAAGAAAGAAGGTGCCTCAAAATATTCCTGTTGTTAGCGGTCCGTGTCGAACCCACAGCGCCGCAAGTGACACATCCGACACTTGAAGCCACGAGATTCTGGGCCCTTTGCCATAGTGCCAAAGGCACGCCTCTGATGCTCCACTCCTCTGTCTTTTGCTCAAAAGTTTTTGGAGACCGCGCCGGTGTGCTTTGAAAGGGCGGGCGGAAGTTATCATTGTTTTATAAACCCCACGCGCCGACCGCCATGTGTCCAAATGATTCCAGATGGCATTGCGATGCTACAAGAGCTGGAGAGGGTGGCTTCGCGACGCATGTCCGTCTTACGACCCGCCGCCTGAACTCAAAGCCCTTGCACCCGAAACCCCAAACGCTAAACCCTAAATCCTAAACCCTAAACCCTAGACCCCAAACCCTAAACCCTAAACCCTAAATACGCTAAACCCTAAATCCTAAACCCTAAACCCTACTTGTCAAACGTTGTGACTTCACTGAGGTGGCGAGGACTACGTGCCAGTTTGAGGGGACATGGGCGATGCCGAGAGCGCTGGCGCCTCAGAAGTCTGGGTGGTTTGTTGAGTCCTTTCTGGGACTTGCGGAGCTTCGGGGTTCAGGGTTTAGGGTTTTTCACGCTCCCCCTCCACGGGGGGGGGGGTTGGGGTGGGGGGTTTTGCGGTGATGATCGTTAATGTGGGGTTCCCCCCTCCCTCTAAACCTAAACCCCAAACCCCAAGCCCGAAACCCTAAACCCTAAGCCCTAAACCCCCAACACAGGATCCACTGTTTATCATCAGAAGAGCCCAAGACCTGGCAATTAAAACAGGATCCCCACTCCACTTCCTATTCTTGGATTGGAAAATGGCTTTCGACAAGGTAGACCATGAATCAATGCTAACAGCGTTAGAACGCCTCGGAGTACACCGCCACTATTTAGACATCATCAAGGACCTATATACATCTCAAACCTTCACAGTGAAGGGCTTCAGAGGAAGATCCGTAACGGCTACACCGCACACGGGTATCAGGCAAGGATGCCCGCTCAGCCCCTACCTATTTATCATGCTCATGACTGTTCTGATGAATGATGCAGACACTAAGCTACGTACAACAGGGGTCCCTACAAACACCTGGTCGGTAGGACGCCCGGTGTACGACATTGAATACGCCGATGATACCATGATTATATCGGTCACCAGATCACAGGCAGAAGAAATGCTAAGGGCAATACAAGTAGAAGCTACACTCTACGGTCTCATAGTGAACACAGAAAAAACAGAACTGTTATCGGATTACACCGCCGACCAACCCATACACTTCGTGGATGGAACACCAGTAAAGGAGGTTACTCAAACCAAATATCTAGGCTCTCAAGTCAGTTGGGTAGCCCCCACTAGAACAGCTATCGACGCCCGCAAAGCACAAGCACAAACCGCATATGCTAAACTTCAACATCTATGGCGTAGTAGACTTAGTAGGAAAGAAAAGGTACGCATCTTCCTCGCTTGTATTGTACCTGTACTGTTATACGGTCTTAACGTCCTCACACTAGAACTAAAGCACCTTAAGACCATTGATGCCTTCTTTCACAGATTTCTACGGCGAAGCATAGGGATACGTGCCTCATACTACTCCCGCATTACAAATGCTCAGGTATGGAAACTAGCCGGTAGACCCTTACTCCCATCACAGATGCTCATCAAACAACAGCTCAAACAGCTAGCGCAGATATTGGTTACACCGCCGACTAACCCCCTAAGACACGTAGTCTTCTCACCAGGGTGGAAGGACAGAATTAAATTTACCAAGGGCTTTAGAAGGGGACACCCACAGCGGTATTGGTTAGAATTAACAGAGGCCCACGCAACGCAAATCCTCAAACACCACCTGGACCAGAACGCCCCCTATGAGAGAAGGGACCTACTAGGCCTTAAACAATACCTAGAAAAACACCCCACCTTTGCACTGTATCTGGAGACTGCGCCTACGCGCCACACAGAATTGTTTACAAAGTTCGCAAAGAGTCTGGGATGCGCATGGCAGCCATAAAAAGCCCTAAACCCTAAACCCTGACACCCCAAGCCCTACACCCAAAGCCCCATGGTGTTTGATGCACTGGCGGCCAAGGCCCGAAGTCTGGTCTGCTGCCGCTTCCGCGCTGC